AGTCTTAATATTGTATTTTCTTGGTTGCGCTAAAACATCCGATGTCTGACCGCATTTATAACTACAAAAACGCTGAAATGGCTGTCCCATTTAAAAACTACAAACGAGTTATAGGTACTTGGTAATTTATAAGAGACTCTCGAAAACAAAAATAGTCTCAAGCTCATCAAACAATCGACACACTCAAGAATATAATACCATATTTAATACATTTATAAAGTACTATAATACTATTATTCTGGTTATAAATTAAGTTTCATTCTTTAATAATCCATCGGTAAAGATATTGTAAATTTATTGTTCAATTTACTTTTATATTTTCGAAGTATGTTGAATTTCTCATTTATATACGTACATTTGTACAAATTTGGTACTAAATGGATATTTTATGTAAATTGTATCTAGACGTATTTTGGAATAATGCTTTCATGGAAATATTATAAAAAGATATGATTTGACTTTTTTTTTTTGTCAAAAATTAATAAATACAGAGTATTTAAAATTTTACAGTAGGTAGATACTTAGGTGATTATTTTGAATAAAATATCGATAACATTATTAGATGTGTTATTAGTGTGTACATGATGTTATCATATAGTAAAACAAATGAGATTGTGAATATTAAATCTGCTGGCTGTAAACAACATTTTAAGTAGCTACTTATTAAACGTTATCTCAGATTATTTTACCAAGTTCGTAGATCAAATGGGACATTGATCGCGGTCCAATTGTCATATTATTGAAGTCAACAATTATTGTAATAATACATAATCAATAAATGATAACTCTTTATTTTTGGGATCAAATATAATTAATAGAATGAATGCAATCTAATTCGTGTATTTTCGTTTGTTGATCTAATATGACAAATAATTATTGTTAAATTTACCATAAATACTTATACGATTTTAATACTTAACCTACCCGTATAGTTTTTTTTGAAATTATGTAAAATAGATGAGAATAATTTATATGACTTATCCACGTTTACTTATACTAAATGATTAGTAGTTACTAATTTATATTTATCTCGATATTTCGATAGATAACTGGTAGATAAAAATTGTAAAACATAATATATTATTATACCGTAGATCACCAAAGTAAAAATTGTATATTTAATAATATCATCTGTTTTGACTGTTTTGAGTTTTAAAATGGAATATTTTTCATGACGTGCTGCATGTCTGTAAATTTTTGTTGGGAATTATAAGTTCGTGGGTGTGTATTATATACATACATCGAATACGGGCTTATTGAAATCCTAAACGACCCTCGAACAATGAGTCGAATCTGGTTTTTAGGGGGTAATGCGTATACTATATATAGTGTATATACCTGCCTGCCTAACCTAACTCATATATTATTATTCATGCGACAGCTCAGCGTGTTGTACTATACCTGCAGGTATATGCTTACAGAATAAAACCATTTTAATAAATAAAAATATTATCGGCCACATATATACATAGGTTAGGTACAAAATGTCATTCCTCATACTCAAGATATACCCAGCCCATCACGGCATAGTTGAAAGGGGGGACTTATACTCGCAATACGAATGCAGATGTCCTGGAATAATACGAATGTTCCCTGTTTTATACTACTCTAATATAATTTAATATTGTACTGTGTCCATAGACGGCGATATACAATTAAAAGATAGAAGGTAGATGTACAAATGAATGGATTCCATATCATATGTAAAATGTATAATATGTTTCATGTATCATCGTCCATCATTTTTTAAAAATTTAAACAGAAAAACAAATTTTATATACCTGATAACCATAACTCATTAATAATTTCCATCATAATTATATTTTTATGATAATTATTGAATAAAAGTTAATTAGTGCATATTATATTTATTGCATGTATTTATACATTATTTGTAAAAAGTAAAAATAATATAATTTGATTCATTAGCTAATAGGATAGGTATGCAAGTTAAACTAGATTAAGTAAAAAAAAAAAATAAATAGTTTTTATGCTATACTAGGATATTACATAGATTATATATATTATTATATATCTACTAGTTACTATCTACGAGCGTTTATGTAATATATAGTAGTAAATACAATGAATTTATTTGTGTATAGAATATTTGACATATTATTTTAAATATATATACTATATAAATAGGTACCTAATAATGGTTTTTTTTTTTTATTGATCTTATTTAAGCTCGGCAACTAAGGACATTAGCTGTGTATAGGAACAGTAGTTATTTTGCATAAGGTTTGGTTAGTAGGGTCGGAACACGTGGGTATACGTAATATGTGTGTGTGCCATAGATTCGTCACTAAGAACTCAGGTGGTCACCCATCTGAGAGCTAGCGACGCCGACCGATGCTTGACCTCGGAACACATTAGTGACTGAAGCCAACTACCGCGCCACACCAGGCTACTAATAATGTTTAAAGTGTATATTATACACGTTAAAACGTAAAACTTGCATCTTTAGTGCAGGATTAGCACAAAATTCATAATATTGTAGTTTGTAATAATTGTAATTATAAATAAAAATGAGATGTACCTATACTTTTTTATAAAAAATTAACATAGGTTACATGTTGTAACACATAGTTTTTAAACTATAAATTATCATATTAAAATTTTAGCATGTTAATATTAACATAACTTTTCAGCTCTAATTTAATACATTTTACTATCGATTGATATTTGATATTATAAACGAAAGGCCACTAATCTGTTATTATAATTCGTTTTTAACAATTAACATTTGATTTAAATTTTTACATAATGTTAAAATCGATCAATTTGTATTTAATTATAATTTTTAAATAATTAAATTTTGTTTTATGCAGTTTACACTGCGTCACCAATAAAGCGAATAATTGTTTTGGTGGAATAATTTAATACATTATCTTTTTTCTATTTCACTATATATTACAGTCATACTCACAACTTATAACATTAAATAATAATTATTACGAATTATAATATTAACAGATAAACCACAATGAGTAATGATCAAATTAATATTTTAGATAAACATTTATTTTATTGATATTATTTTGTTATCTTAATCGCTACGTGTTAGTGTGTAACAGATGTAAATCCGTACTGAATAATAAATTAAGCTCAGTATTCAAATGTTAATTTTTTATAAATTTAATTTTAAATTGATTATGCTAAGACTTTAGTAGATTATTTAAAATATGAACTAATTCATAGACATAAAATTGATTTAAGTTCATGAACTCTTTTATGAACTATTTACGAGTACATTCGACTTTTTTTTATAATTATCCAGTTTTATCATATTAGTATTAATAATACTAAATTTCATATTAATTAGGTATATTCTAAAGTATATTTAATGCTTAAATAGTCTTAATTAAAAATTACACTCATATTCATACAAGGAAATAAAAACCTATAGTGATAAAATTCGGAATAATTTGAATCAATATAATATGAACAAATTATTCTATAGATTAGGTTCTAAATAACACGAATAAACAATGAACAGTGTTAAAATAAATCATTGAACGTTCACAACTAAAAAGTAGAATTTTAGAATTCTTATAATTCTGTTGACATATGATTGTAATATGCTTTAAAAAAAATCTCAAAATATTTATCTTATTAATACGCTGAATATATACTTTATTTTAATTAAAATCTGTATGCATGTTTCAGTAAGAAACTTATGTATAGTAATAAATGTTTTCATTAAAATTTATAAATTTATGATATTTATATGAACCACTCATTAAATATTTTGAATATAATTACATTATTACGAATAAGTTATTGAAAAATGTATACAATAAAACAATATATATTCTTAAATATGAAATAAAGGTTAAATATTTTTTATTACTCAAACTATGTTTTTTTATGTAAAATAATTTTTTTGTAAGAATTCTGAAATGGATAAGTTGTCTACATTTTTCACCGTTGTTGAGTTGCTTTAAGTCAATACATATATATATAAACTTTATTTCTCTATTTTAAAACGCGATTTAGTCAAATAGATTTTATTTATTGCCTAATAAAATTTTTCTTAAATATTTAATTAAAAATATATTTTTATAATAAAATAAATATAAAAAGGCATTTATTTCATTTTGAACTTTGAACGAATGAATGAATTCATTTGTAGTTTGTACTCTGAAGTTTGCTTTTACAAATAATGTACATATTACCTACTATAAATTCCATAAAAATAGTGACCATATTATGTGAATTGTATGTTTGAATTTATCAACCATCATTTATTCAAATTGATCACTTGTTTGCAGTATTATTATTGTCCCGTAGGTGTATATATATATACTTTGTCGAAATAATATATAGACATAAACTGTTAAGTATAACATTATCAAAAAAAAAAAAAATATTACTTTAAAATATGTAATAATCATATTTATATTAATATGCATTAGTATTAAAAAGAATATTTATAGTTTATGGTTATAATTTGTAACACTAACATAATATTTACACGTGAACAAATTTCATATAAATACTTATAAAAATATTTTGAGAGTTTATAATACATAAAACTTCAATAATCTTTTTAATAAATATTTAATACATGCAATAATTTTAAATTGGGTAAAGACTATATAAAAAACTTTTTTGGTTGGGGTAAAAGCGAGAAAAAGAATATTTTTGGTATGTTATAATGTTTTTATGTTTTAGTTATATTAGACTTAAAAACTTAAAGAAAAAATATTTACTATGACAATTTTAGAATTGACGTGTTGAATGACAAATGAAACAAAGGTTTTGCTAAGAATATAATTTTTGTTATGGGTCAAATTAATTTAAAGCAATTATTATGAAAATATTTTTACAAAAATTAATTTTCATTTCTCAATAAGTAAGTAATAACTAGTATTTATATTTATTAAATTCTGTCATGATTCAATTTTAAACGTTCCAAAAATATATCGTTATATTATATTGTGTTAAGTTTAATATATAATACATAAAATAAGAGACTATCATAAATTATTTGATTATCTGATGTTCACAGTCACTTATAGAAAACCACATAAATTTTGTATGTCCTATCTTGATTAAAAAACACTCCAAGTTAACAAAACCTGCAGTTAGTCCATTAAATTAAATGTTTTTTCGTTTGTAAAGTGTTCTATATAAATTATCCCTGTGTAAATGGAACACGTCCGATACACAGAACACTCGCATTAATGAATATAAAAATAATATTATTATCCATAATCACTGTGATTGATGTAATCTACGGAAACTTACTTAAATTTTCCATATGCATACAAATATCTATATATCTGTATTCTGTATATTATAAAATGTATATGTTTAATATTTTAGCTATACGTTTAAGACAGTATATAAAACACATTATACATTTCAGTATCAGATCGAATCGATCGAACGCTGCGATAGAACTAGGATTCGTTAATAATAACAGTAATAATAATAGTAATAGTAATAATTACGATAATCGTGTGTAAATAACAATCGATGAGTTTTCACGGTATTCGGGCATAATTACACGTTACCCTATCTCCAAAATGGGCATGTGTGTTGTGTACAGCAATAATGATAATGAGCTTGCCAAAACCGACTGGTATAAATTAGCAATAATAATAATATTACATAAAGGGAAACCAGAACACTCCATATACGTACACGTTTCGATTTAGGTAAGTGAAGAGAAGGGGTTTGGTTTTCATTTGAATGAACAGATTAAAAAGATTTGTTTCCAATCTATTCGACGTATCGGTTGACGGGACAAGCATGTTTAAATTTCGTTTGTGTTGGTTTATATTATTTACACAGCTCAAGGTAAGTGCCGTCACACGATTAAAATGTATTATGTCTCGTTTATCCTGCGATAAATTTAGTTATTAAAGAGTCCTTTATTGTAATGAGGTTTGGTTTATGTGTTTATAAACTTTAGGATATGCGACTATCCAATGACTTAAACGATTATTCTCGAGTCACTGCGATGCGGTATTTGGCTGACGGCTCTCAATTACCATTATTATTGTCAGTAAGTTCTATAAACAAGTATAATGGACTGATACCGTTCAAAGATGTAAATGTTTCTACTATGTTTTATTATAAGCGTGGTTATAATCAATTGTTGATTTGACAATTTATCAATTTTGGATAATAATATACTTATTTATACTGTGAAATTCGATTGGCTATAATAGGGGTAACTATTTATTGATCATGCAGGATAGAACGGTGAATTTGGTTTACAATCAGAGACAACGCCACAGGAAAATTGTCTACTCGGATTGGTCGGATTGGAGTTCGTGTTCGGATAGATGTATTACAGTTAGAAAAAAGTTAGTATTGTAGTGTTCACGATTAGGTTATAGGAATGTTATTCTTATTTTTTGTACTCGAAGCATGTCATAAATATAAATTATTGAATAATATTTTTCCAATATGAAACATTTAGAATTTTCAACGAATATTAGGAATAAAAATAAATTTAAATAAATATCTATTATGAAAAATATTATGAATGTGGAGAAAATATATATAATAATAATATTATTAATATTATTCAAAAGTTTTCATGTAGGTACCTATAGGCGGCTCTACTGTTAGCTCCCCTTTTCACCAACCCATTACTGTCATCCCTCCCTCAAATTTACTTATTGTACAAATAGTATAGATTGTACATATCAATAAACGTTATTTTAATAAAAAAAAAAAAGTTTGGTGGTGAAAGGGGGGGGGGGGGGGGGGGGGGGGGGGGGTGATGATGCCACTAGTGGTACTCTCGCTCTGGTATCTTGCTTGTAACAAACTGTATTTAAGTAATTTGCATACAGCGCTTGTTCAGATATTGTTTAAGGTCGAACATTTGTGGATCGAACGTTATTACCGAATCATCATATTGTTTTATGACTGGTTCGAGATGCCTGGGGCTCGTGAAGAATTACTACAAACAGGTCAATTCAAGTATCTCGAACAAAGGTTATAAATTATTTTCATATAGCTGATATGTTTATTAATTGAATGACAATTTTGCATTGTAATTTTAGGTGATGAGTATGGTGTGTCCGTGAATTTTACATGTGGTGTTGATGTTGCTTCCGCTACTAATCTTGGTTACAAGACTCCTAGGTTTTTAATTAAAATAATGGGAGGTCAAGAATCTGGAAAATTTCATTGGCCTTGGCAAGTTGCAGTGTTAAATGGATTTCTGGTATGATGATTATAAAATAAATAATATCGTTCATATCATTCATTACATTAAGCGTTTTCACACTTTTAGGAAGTAATTTGTGGCGGTACCCTCATAGCTCCCGGTTGGGTGCTCACAGCTGCACACTGTTCTAGACAAAAATTATTCGTGGTGTTAAAAGAATACGATTTATCTGTGTATGAAGGCGATGAAGTCAGATTAAGGGTATGGAACTATGTTGTGTATATTGTATAAATAATGTATTATATGCAATATCCATAATATGTACAACATACATACTATTACACATTTTATAATAATAAATGGTATTTAGGATTTTTTAATAATTGCTGTATGAGAAATGAAGTAACAATAGTTATTTTTATAACAATTATAGGTTGATCGTATTATAATACATCCCAGATACAATCCAAATACAATTGATAATGATATGGCTTTGTTAAAATTACGTACCTTGGATTTAGTAACAGATGGTAGATTAAACTTGCAGCCAGCTTGTCTTCCGTCCTCTGATTTTCAACGGTGGAAACGGAAACCTAAAATGTGCGTAGTTATTGGATGGGGAAAAGTGAAATCGCAAGATTCTTATGGATCTAAAATACTTCGAGAAGCTAAGGTATGTAGTTTAATACTGTTTCTAAGTAGATAATAAAGTTAACTGCGAGTTAATATAGTATTAATAATTAATGGTTATCGTATCATTCGTATCAAAAAAGTAAACAACATTTGTGTATTGTGTTTCATACTTACATAAAGGTTTAGCTAAGTTATAAAGTATTTATATCTATCAATAACTGACAATATAAGTATTAAAAATATGTTATACTTGCTGAAAAAATGTAGTTGTTACAAAGTTTAATCGATTAAATTATTTCATAACTTTCACCATAGAATTTATAAAAAAAGGTTTAGAATTTAGATAATTGCTCATCAATCTAGCTGTAAATTTTTGTAATATTCAATCATCTCGCATGAGACATTTCCAAGTAATTTTTATGTTTAATTTATAAAAATATGTTTATGCATCATAGGTAAACAGTAATCATAGTTAAACAGCCCAGTTTTTATTTTAGGTATGAAAAGTATGAATAAAATGAATTACTGATCAGTGATCAGTAAGTTTTAAAAGATGATGAATTAGTATATATTTTGGTAGTTTTGGTTAGTTGTGATGAACCATTTTGAACAGTTGAGGTCGGCTCTTAAAATATTATGTTTTTTCTCAATTACCATATATTATATAATCCTTATTTTCAGATCTAAAGAATTATACTAAAAAAGGTAGGCAAGTTAGTAAACTTTTGCTGTACATTAGATATCGATAAGTCACTATAATATGGGTATATTAAATTTGAACTCAATGATATCTTATTTTACTTGAAAAATGATTCTGAGCGTAAATAATCTGTCAACATATGATGTCACTATGTATACTATAATGTAATATGTTTTTTTTTTTTTTTATATAGCTATTAAAGCTGTTTATATTATTTTTAGTATTACGGTAGGTTGATATATTTTTTCCTTGGATGATGTAGTATTTAATTATTATAATACTATATATTAATAACATATTATAAACATTTATATAACTCGAAATTTAATTTTATCTTTCTATAAATATCGTTTAATAGAAAATATAGATTCATAATTTAAATGCATATTATTAAAAAAAAAAAAAAAATGACTTAAAATGTTTCTAAAAAAATATTAACTTAATAAATTTATTAGATTTTTTGGTTTCAGTATGAAATATTTAAGCGTAATTTTGTATTAAGTTTTTAAGAATTTTGACCGAGTATAATTTTTTTATCAACAATTATAGAAAAAAAAAAATAAAAAAAAATGAAATATTTGTCATATACCGTTAAATAACTCAGAGTTAAAATATCTTGAACATTTTATCTGATAATTGAAATGAAAACATAAACATTTTGTGAACATTTCAAGTGTCTGCAGTTATTCGTTTTTGAGTTATCTACTCCAAAAATAAATTTAATTTTGTCAAAAAAGGGATTTGTGTAAAAATCTCCATGTTTTTCATAACTTTGTTTTTAGTTTTTCCCGATCATAACATATTAGGTACGATTATTGCTCTTAAGAAATTTTTACTTTTAATTCTCTCCTCTCCCCGAGGTACTAAATATTTACGACTTTCTTTCAGAAACCGTCCCCTCTCTCCATTTTTGAAAATCGAAGCATTTTTACTGCCCCAAAAAGTAATTCGATTTGATCAATTTAATTTGATTTAATTAGATATTCAGATGCATATGCTTAAAATATAAAAACTGTGATATATAACATATAAATATATAATACAGTATGTAATATTGACAATTATGTTATGTACGTATATTGCTGTCCGTAGGTTCCGATCGTTGGTCAGCGGACGTGTCGAGCTGCGTACAGGCGTTATCAGATCACCGACAATATGTTCTGCGCGGGGTACAGAGACGGTCGGTCTGACACATGTACGGGTGACTCGGGTGGGCCACTATTGTGCAACATCCGTGGCCGGTGGACTGTGGTGGGTATCACAAGTTTTGGCTACGGCTGTGGCCGGCACAGCAAGTACGGCATATACGCCAACGTGGCCAATCACGTGCAATGGATCACGTCCGTGATACAGACGTCCGGTTCAGTAACCCGACGATGACATCCAAAGGGACTTCCTTGAAGCAACTTTTTATGATAGTTACCCTACCTGATCTTTTCCGTCTATATTTTATTGTCTGCAATAGTATTGATGATGTTTTTTGTCGTGAAAATAATATTTATATATTATTATAATATTACGATTGAACGAGATGCCATTAAAACATTATTTTGATTGAAAAAACAGTCAATATTGTTTTTGAAATTGAATTCAATCATTTCCCCAATCGTTCGAGAATTTTACAGACATAAAAATCACCATGCAACTTACATTGTTTTAAGCCAGTTAGATATTTGTTTAGGATTGTATTGTTTTACTTAAGTTTTTAAAAGGATTAGAGTATAGGCAAATACACTTACACTTATACTATACTAAAACGGAGTAATCCATTTAACGTAAGAGTTGCAAGATAACACGAAAACACGTTTTTGAAAATATCTATTTTAAACGATTTTCAGTTGTCTCAAAACAACATAATTGGAAAACAATTATTATCTTACTATCATTTTATCTTTGTAAATGATAAAAACAATTAATATATTATAATATAGTTTTAAGAAAAACGTTGTTTTTTAATGACTTAAAATAATCTAAAAATTATTTTAAAAAACGTTGATAGGTTTAGAAATAATGAGTATCTTGTGTTAAATGTATCACTCGGTATACTATGAAATAATACTAATAGTTTTATTGTTTCACTCAACCTTTATTAAAAATTGATATATAATTTAGAATATAGAAATTAATTCACATGAAATTACCCAGATAATTATGATTTTACTCTATTTGATTCAGACATTATGAAATCACCTTGGTTAAATAATTCAATATCATTATAATGATTATTAATGGATTATCATGATTCATGTATAGACAGTGTATGGTATTAGTTTAGTAAAATGTTTCCTTATCTATAAATGTATATGTATAATTTCAATTGTTGTGCTAAAATAGTTATGTGGTAGCCTTTATCAATAGAACAAATAATAGTTTTTAATAAGACATACATTAATATAAAAGAGTTGATAAAAAAAATATTTAAGCTGCAATTATGTATAGCGTATTGCAATTAAATATTGATGTATGTACATAGTAATAATATAAAATTATAATTTTTTCTATTATAAATTTATTAAGTTAAATAAGAACTATTTTGACGTATCTTATTTTTATGTTGTATACGTTGATATTCATAGAACCTATTCACTTACTTAATACACTACAATAATTAATGATTACATGCATCAATATCAATTTTCTGCTTCCATTGAGAATTTTTATAATAATACTAGAACTGTAGTCCTTTTCCGAATACTGCCCCGATTCTGAGATAAGCGATGCAAATATTGATTTTGTAGTAACATGTGTAATTTTTGATGATGTTTATTATTATTCAACATCATTTATCACTTTTTGAAGTAGAAAAAATATGCATATATTTAATATTTATGGCTATTTTTCGATAAAAAATTGGTATTGTGGAGGTCATAAGTAAAAATTAATTTTTATAAAAATCAGAAAAACAAAAATAAAAAAATAATTGAAAAACTTGAGAAATTTATAAGAAATTTGTTTTTGACAAAATCAATTTAATTTTTTTTTTATAATTTAAAAAAGAAAAACAGTAGAGATTTACTTTCACAAAATATACATATTAGTTTTTCAAGAAATACAAATTTTAAAATAGTGTATCTATTTTTAAGTTACTTATAGTAATTTTAAATGCTTTATTTTAACTTTATTTAAATTTTCAATTTATCTAGTATAATGAGATTATTATTTATAAGCCAGAATCTTTGGAAATGTAATATATTTTTAGAATTTGTTGTTTTGAAAATAAATAGTCAGGATTGGTAATTAAGTGTAATCGTTTAAAATTTAAATTTTGACGAAATTAAATATTCAAACCGTAATAACGATTTGCTTCTACAAAAGATGTACGTTATTTTATTATAATTCAATACATATTATATGAAAAAGTTCAAAAAATTCCAACACTATTTATATTAATATTTTCTTTACACATTTTTGGACTAATTTTGAGTATTTTATTACAATTTAACCACAATACTGTCCATATTTTTCAAGGAATATCAATAGATACAATATTATAATAATTATTATATGCTTAATGTTTTTTTATAAAAATTGGTAAACCGCATTATGTATGTAGAAATATATAGTACTAATGTACTAATAGTAATATAATTAAATGATGAATTAATATCATTAGAAATAGATATTTATAGGTTTGTGCTCAGAGTTGTTTTCATATATATTAGATAATTATGATTTGTTATTTGATTCAAATTAAGCATATCTGTTTGCCTTACATAAATTGAATAAAAATATATACTTATTTTATAATGTATTTTACTTGTTTTAATTTTTAATTTTTTATGTATTTTGTAAGGTGATAAATAATTTGTTATAAATATTATAATACATATTTTATACTGAGCACTTTGGTATTTGATATAGATGTACATGTTTAAAATAGGGTATTATTTTATTTATAGTGTTTAGTTTGGTAGTTTTATGTGATCGTATTAAACATAATAAGAAAATAGATGGAACGTAAACTTAAGAATTATCTAATTTTATTATGTATTGTATACACATACATATATAAATCAGGGTAGTTGAGACTTGTAATACTTTAAAATAATTAAATTTGCTCTATAGTGTAAAATAAAAAAATTCAAAAATGCAAAGAAATAAACTTTAATGCATTTATCTATGTGCTCTATGTTAACATAATATATAATGCGAAACTACAGAATTGAAATAATTAAAACGAATTGTTACTTAGTTAAAAACTGTTTTATAACTAGGGTTAGGATTTATATGTAATAAAAAATGTTAATATATGTATTTGGCTTATTAAAAATATGCAATTAATATTATATACGCCAAAAAATATAAAATATACACTTAAAAAAATCATACGTTTTAAAATTAATTAAATAATATTCTTAACTATTCACGCTAATGAAATGTATTACACAAAACAAATTTTCAAAACTGAACGATCTTTTGTTAGACCTTAATATAAGCATAATCGTACCTTCAATAGGTATTTTTGAACAGCATCAATACATACTGTCGTATGCTAAAAACGTCTAGCAACGGAATATACCATAAAATATACATTTTTCACGTTTTACAGTCGAAATAGGCAATAATATTAATTTTATTCAAAATATGCAATAATACCTATATATGTATTTTGTCCAAAATATGCAAAATAAAATCACCACTGTTTATCTCATCTTAAGGTTATTCGCGGACATTACTTACAAAAGCAATAATCAGAAGTTGTAAAAAAAAATATACTGTTGCATATAAATTCAAGCCCTATTTATAAAACTTAACTGATGAATTAATATTTCCCTCCACATGCTCAACAACATGCAACTTGGATAATTTTTGTGTACAGTGATTTAAGCGCTTTTTACATTCGATTTATCATGTAAGGTGCTGTATCAGATAAAAAATTAACAAACGATAATCAGTTGGTATTTAAAAAAAAAATACCAATAATTTTATCCGAAAGCAATCACATAAAAATGTACAGAAATAATTTACTTAACATTTACCTTGGCATGTGTACAACAGCAAAGCGGCTGTAAAACAAAATGTTTGATGTGTAATCATAAATTACGGCGGCATTAATTGAAAAATACAAAAAAACTAGGAAGTATGAAAAAGAGCACTAACGTTTTTCGTTTATGAACTCCTTTAAGTATGAAATATATTTGTAGATTACCCTGCTGTAATTTCAAGTCTCAGTAAAAAAATATGCAAATGCTACTAGTTTTGAGTTTCTGAATTTTCCATTGTTATTTGTCTTACCTACATAAAAATAATTGTATTGGAATATTAAGTTTATGAAGTTTATTTTCATGTAGTGGTTAGTTTTTATTTTTAATATAAATACAAATTACTTCCGTTAAAATATTGTATGAAACGTTTTATTTATTTTCACGTTCGTCAAAACAAAAAAAAAAAAAAAAACATACATACATTTTACAATAATATAATAACTGTAATATGCTCCAACAATAGGCAGGCATCACACATTTTTGGTGAACATTTTGTTTATATGAAATTCATCACGCGAAGGGTTGACATTAAAAACATTATTATAACAATGTAACTATTCTAAAAATATATATTATACGTGTATAATATATATAAATATATATATATATATTATACATATACATTTTATAATACACATATATTATAATTTGTTACATAATGCAAAAGTTTACAAACACCAAAAACACCAACATTATCTATTTCGAGTATTTTTTTCATTTTGTCTTGGCGTTGTTATTTATTAATTATTTTTTATACAGAATAATATTTTATGTCCCTGAATTCTGATACAATCACAGTAAAAAACAAGTGTGCGACAACAATGCGCTTAATAAAAATTTTTAAAACTTAACACCATATTCCATTTAAACATAAAAAAAAAAATAAAACCATAAAATGTCTAAATATTTATTAAAAAAAAAAAAAAAAATATTGATAATGATAACATAAGTACTTTTTTATAAAATAAAATAGATCAAAAAACAAAGAGTGGAAATTATTAAATTTAATTGCTGAATATTTGGATACATTTTTTCGAAACTCATAATTTTGATCGTTTTGTGGAAGCAATAATAATTTTATTATTTTTATTATTTATTTATTTAATATTTTTAGTGAAAATCATAAGTTTAATCAGGTACGTAGCACAATTTTTTATTTTCACAAACGTGATTTGATATTAATACAAATTATGATTATTTTAATTTTTAATGTTCTGCATAGAGACAACTTAGAGAATAATGTTATATTGCTTAAAAATGAATAATAATAACTTTGGGTTAAATACGATATTTATTGTTTTAGGGTTATTGACTTATAATGCGTAAAATGTATCAGATGTGTGGTTTAATGTCAAATGTGGTGTGAGACGACAACGCGTAGAAATTGTTGATAACTTTTTTAAATTTTATTTCATTTATTGTCTGTAAGATCTGTTATTGAAGTGAGAGTTACCATAATAATTTATTGAGAGCACCTTTAAAGAGAGTTTATCTTTGTGAAAAAAAATCCGAATTTTGCATTAAAACATACCTACAGGACATTTTTTTTATAGAATAATTTCAACACGTAAAAAAGGTATTAATAGTGCTATTATTTTGAATCGAATTTTCGGCCAGTAGACATTTTTTTAAATAATCAGTTGTGAACACGCTATTGTGGAAATTAATTCGGCGCATAAGTCTAATTAGGCTTATGAGATAAATAAAACGTCGTATTATAACCGATGAGATTTTAGAGTATTGTAAAAACATGCATATTATATTGTCGTTACTGAGAGTTTGGCGAGTAAAACGTTGACTGACTTAAATCTAATTGTTATAATGCTGATCAATGGTTTCAGTATATTAATTATTGATTCATTTGATCTATATTTTGAGTATAATAAAGTAGAAGTTAAATTAAAACTGTCTGAAAAGCACACACTGAATTATCGGGTATACGTATTATAGTTACCATAAACAAATTATTTACACATATATAATATGAACGTTAACACTTCACACTCTAATTATACGTTTATATGGTTTAGATTATTTTTATTATTATAATTGTTATATAATATAATATTATCATATTGTTTTACGAAAATCATACGACATAGATACCATGCAATTTAAAATATACACATAAGTTATAAACTTGAAAATAAACAGTTGAAAACTTGATTGTTTCTTAAATTATTATTATTATTAATAACTTTAATTTATAATATATTTAATTAGTAATTTATGTATGTATTTATTTATTATTATTTTATTATTATTAATAGCAATTATTATGTGAAAGATAAAAATCTCACAGCGATATGATAACAAAACATCATGTTTGTATAATAAATCTTAAACTAATCACAAAACATACATTTCTTTGTAAAAACTAAATTTTTTTATTATTATTAGTGGTCTTCTTTTCAAAATGATTTTTTATTTATAGATAAGGCTCGACGTGGTCCCAATCAGACCTATGTCTGCTGAGCCTCTCGAATACAGTCTTTTCGATTTTGTACTCCCCGGTACCAGCTTGCTTACACAGTGTGCTCAGAATGTCTTGATTATCGACAGTTCGCGTAGGTAACACGATCTAAAACAATTATTTTTTTGAAATTTTGCTTAGGTACTATTTCTACACACAATAATATTTTATTTACATTTATGAGATCGTTGGGTGCAATTTTAACCAGATTAATATCTTTTTTCAGCCTTGTCATGATATGATGAAATTCTTCTTTGGCGTTGGTTTTTGTCTGGCTCTTATTGGTTGCCCATTTTATCATTGCCTGGAACTTTCGAATTTCAGACACTTCGAGTGGTCTACACATTATCTGCTGTACCAGTGACTCGGAAAGCGTAAGAAAATCACAGTGATTTAAAACCTAGACATATATCCACCGAGATAAAAATAAATTATATGTATATTATATATAGATAATACTATGGATATGTTAAAAAAAAATAAAAAAATACCCTTAATGCGTTTTGTTCGATGTAAGTAAATATCAAATTAACTAATTCCACTGCTGAATTGTACCTCCATACGTAATTTTCCAAACTGTTTAACATTAAGCATATCTGAAACCAATTTATAGTTATGATGGGTAAAGAAAATGCTCATTTAAGAAAAGTTTACTTACCACATCTACCCTTAAATGCTGTTTTGTATGATGGAAACACGCCTGTAAGAGTTCTGGCAAGTCATAGTGTTCAGCTGCACATATTAGCCCGGGGACATTAGCACAAGTGATTTTACAAGAGCTCGTATGTAAGTAATCCAGTAATATTCGAAATGTGTCGGGATCAAATTCGATGATTGAAAACTTATGAGCAAATACAGTTATTTATTTTATAAGAGAATAATTATTAGGCGAGTGGACATTTATTATTATTATATTACCTCGATTTGATTGAGTTTTGCTCGATCAATCTTGTCCCCTCCGTTATTTGGACAAACACTTACTTTAGGTACGGACAACTGAGCTAACCTTTCTTTCTCCTTTTCTTTGTCCTTTTCTTTTTCTTTATCTGAAAATTAAATATTTGTTAAAATTATTTCAGCACTTCAGACTTTAGCCGTATAAATCTATTTACGGCTGAAATCTTGAGAAGAAGCCCATTTCTTTTTATCATCAGCTGACAGATTTTGTTGTTTTCTTATTGACTTACTCCATCCAGCAGTAATCGTTCCTATTCTGGAAATAGCTCTTCGCATCATCGGGGAGCTAGGAACACTTTTGGCCCTTAAAAATGTTTTTATTAATATTTTTTTAAATTATTATTTGTGAATATTTTTATTGGAAAATGTAGCTAAATTTTAAGAATATACTAACCTTGGTGTTTCTATATCCGGAACTTGTAAAAAGTTACTACTTTTTGCTTTTTGGTGTTGTTGAGAAGGTAAACTAGGAAGACCTCGGGCTAATAGTTCAGCAACCGGCATTTGAGGAGATCCAAAACCGGTGGAAATGCCGTATAACATTTCTTGGAATACTCTGTTGGACATGACATAATATCAGATTAAAATTTTAATGTTTAAATTGTTTTAAATTACTTAAAAATGATCTTTTTAGCATGATACATACCGACTTCTTACACCTAAAATTGCTCGTACACCAATAAACTTCGTTTTCTGTTTACTTTGACCTACTAAAAATACTACATCAAACAAATGACCATTTATAGATGCATTTGATTCGGAGTTTATGAAGAATTTTGTAAAATCTTTAGCAAGAGTATCGTAGTCTTCAAATCGATCTCTAACCGAATCGAGTAATGGACTGGATGGCCTCATATGCCCTATTGGTCTCCATGAACCTCTCCTGAAAAATTTTATAGCAATGTTTAATACATTACAATAATGTTAGTAATATAACTTTTTCTTGCCTGTATGGTTTAGGTATTTGACCAGTCTCACAATGATTTTGTAAATTGGCAACAATATCTTCAAGCATTTGGCTACGAGTACGTTCTTGCATTCTAGCAAATTTTGGTGCTGAATAACTAGCTCGTTCGCCATTTACAATCTTTGTTAAGATCCATTCTCTAAACATATCCTTTTCTTCGAAAACCGATTGTTCCCAAAGATATGGTTTATAAGCCCCAACTTCATCTCTAGTTACAACAGATACCTTGGAAAAATATTTTTTAATGATAATATTCAATTCAATAACGGTTAATAATTTAATAATTTATTTACTTCGTATTTAGTCCTTTCTGTTTTTCTTCGAATTCTCGGACTTACTCTGACCAATATAAAAGTATGAAGGAAATGTGATTTTATACATGCTGGTGAAAATCGGGTATCATCAGCTTCAAGGAATACAACGCACACAATATCATTACCAATATGTCTTTTTCTTTGTAACTGTAAATGATAGAATATAATTTTTATAATTTTACAATTAATTTAAAAATGTTTTGAGTTGTAGATACTTTTTGTGCATCGTGTGCTTCATAGGGTAACATAGTTGAAACGTGAAACATTATTTCAATATTTCTCCAATTCGTATAAACAGAATGTGTCCCAGTCAAATCATGTACTGTATCTAATCCTCCTCGATACTTATCAAACCCTATAAAATATATAATAAATGAAGAAAATTATAATAATTATTTTTTGATTTGTTATCATACCACAAAGTCTTTTGGTCTCTCCTAAAAGTCCAAGGAATTCTTCAAATGCTAAGCTATTTTCATTGTTATCCAATATATCTTCTTCAGTGGTTTGGCCTTCTTTGACGTATATTACTCCAACTTTGAGTTCAGATTTCATGAATACTTGGTCTAATTTTAGAAGTTCATCGGCTGTGTCAGGTAATTGGCCAAGTACTAAGGGTGGATTTAAATTGATCTCTTTACCTAGAGATCTGACCACTTCCTCACGATTATAGCGATCGGCAAATACACAAGATGCTGGTATTAAGCCATGAACTGTGTAGCTGATTGCTCTGACCAATATCCTAGGTACAGAAAAAACAATATTAAATACATATATTTTTATTCAAATTTATTGATTAAAATGGAATATACCTAAATTGGTCTCGACCATTAATGGTTTCTTGTTTAAGACTTAAGATAATTGGGCCCAAATCTTCATCATTTGTGAAATAATTCCAATGTTCCTTTTGATAAAAGTACCTTTCAAATGTTTCTTGTTCTACAGAAGTTAATTCGAAACATCGATTTTTTTCCCACTGTTCCTCAATTGAAGTTTTTGGTCTGTAAAATAGTAAATTAATAGTTAATAAATATATCATTATATTCCCATTTAATTACAGCACCTGGATGGTGGCATAATGTAATCATCATCATATGGATAATATTCATCATCCTCTAGTAGCAAACTATCTGAACCCCGAGGCCGTCCATATCTATTTCCAAAATACTCTTGGGCACCATCTGCTCCATCTGAATTTGAGCCATTATTTAACTCACGTTCGTCAGATCCAGATTCTTCAACATATCCTGCTTCACTAGTGATTTTTTGGCGAGAACATTCTATCCAGTATCCGGGAGCTGGCTGAAAGTTATGAGGCCATTCCTCACAAATATCATCTATAAAAATAAAACATAAAAATAAAATATTATTATATATTGAAACAACTTTATTTTTAATTAAATTTTAATATGTTTTTTGTTCATAGGCTTAATATTTTTATACTTAAGTAGAACATTTTCTAGTGATTTATTCAATTACTCATAGTTAAACAGCAGGTATATTGACTAATATTCCTCGTAGTGACAGAATATTTCTGCTAAGAAGCTTAGGATATAAAGGCTTATATTGTTTTTATTTAATATTTTTCATTTAGTTGATTGCAAAGAAAATTTTGTACATTAGTTGGAAGAAAGTATTTTATTTTCAAAGTTTTTATTGTTGTTATTATTATTTCTGGATTTTAGTTAATTAGTGTTTTAATAATATAGGTAGAAGTTAAATTATTTAATAAAACCTATTTCTGTTAATGACTTTTGTTAAATTCATTATTTTTAATTTTAAAAGTGCAGATGGAAAACAATACAAAACGAATTTATTCTTTCTAAGTTGTTTTTGTACTATATAATTTGTATAAAAAACACAGAGTTCTATAAATATTTTGTAGATATAATAATATAAGTAATATCGTAAAATGATTCGTAAAGAAACAAATACATGTTAAACACATTAAAAGTAATATATACATTTTTCAAAAGTATTCTTGATATTATATTACAATTCATATTAATTGTTCGTATACGATTTATTTCCAAATTGTATTAGTATTGATATATTTACGATGCTTTAAACACTCTCCAATATCTTATAAGTAATTTTTATCATCATCAAGCATTCTTGCACAGAAAACAAATAATCTGTGATTAGATAAATTGGTTAAATTGATTACTATCAGATTTTCGATTTACCAAACATATCAAGTGGTCTTTAGCTGTTTTTGTCAGGTACAAATATTTGTAATACATAGCATTTGCTCATATTTACGTTTACAATCTCGGCCATGCATATTATGGATGTTGTATGTATGTATGTATTTATGTGCAGGGAAAGTAATAAAAAAAAAATAATTTCCGGCTCGGAAAAGCAGGTTCTATTACGTGCATGTGTCTTAAAGTTTAACATAGACGAATATTATCTTGTTTATGTATGTATATAGCTACTGACTTTATTAAAATATTTTAGTAATTCAATTACTAGCAATACACTGCCTTATAAGCAGTGAGCCAGAGATTGTAAAAAGTGGGTAGTTTTAATATATTTTCCTTATAAACACACCAGCTATCATAATAAAATGACTTATATGCCTATGAAATCCACTAAATAAATTGTTATTTTGATATTTATTTTATGAACTCGGTACAGGAGAAAATTGCATGTGTATATATTTTACTTATAAATAATGAAAAATATTAAGGTTAAATACGATAATATTATATCATAAAAAAGATGTTTTAATTATTATTATTATCATTCTAATGCTTTATATTTCTAAAATTAAAAATATGTGTAAATCATAATATAATAGCCTTTTAGACTAATACTTTTTTATACTATGTTTTTAAGAAAAACTATTGTAGTAAAAACTGTGACTTCTTATTTGGCAGATTTTATTTTACAAAAATTTAACGTAATAAAAAATAATAGGTATATAATAAAAAAATTAGTTTGATGATGTGATCGGTACGCACATAGAACGACAAATGCCGTCGCGAACTATATTTTAAGATGGGTAGTTATTATTTTATATTATTAAACATAAATATATACATCACTAAAAGTAGTCTATAACAGTGTTGTATTTTTAATGGTATATCATTTAAAGCGTATACGTGATAAATCTACACATATGCATTTATCGTATGAATTGAAAAATATAAATTTTATTATTGTTCCCTTTCAAAATCGTAAAAATTGTTTTCTGTTTATTTATTTTTCTGTTTTATTAGGTGTGTGTATATTCTGCTGCAGCCCTTATAGTTGAAGACAACCAATGTAGCACTGCTGCAGCTATATAATGAAATTGAAAAAATCTATATATATTATATTACACCAAAACCAAAGTATATGCTGGCAATTCGTTCGGCTCAACATAATCAGACCGGTCCATATTATATAAGAAATCGTTAGAATTCGGACTATCTGCCAATCACGACGGTTTGAATTTAGTCTGTACCATTTAGTCGGAAACTTTTGCTTATCTGCAAATAACAGTAAACTGGAACCTGGGTTGCATCTTCTATTACACCTTAATACACAATAAAAAGCCGAGAAAGACTGTGAAACTTTGGCGTGGGTACCTAGTTTATATAATATATCGTATAAGCGGTGTAATACAAGAAAAAATCTACGCAGTTATCTAAATTATGAAAGTAAAAATAGTAAAATAATAATAATAAAATCCAGAAATGTGAGCCAACTAAATCCAATCATCAGATAGCTGTAGTCGATAATTTTACAAAATTAGATATACTATTGGTTTTTGTTTTCCTGATGTATCAATATAATTTAATAAATAAATATATTTTGTTCGAGAAAAAAATATAAAATATGAACTAATTTTGCGTGATATCAATGCGTTAAATTAATTTTCGTTTTATAATAGTATATTAAATTATATAGACTATAACCAATGAAGTTTAACACAACTAGTAACTGTGAACAGTATCTATACATGGGTATATTTGCATATAATTTAAAATATTTTACAAATATGAATAGTATAGTACTATGATATAAAATGAATATTAATATACTAATAAGAACCTAAAGTTAAAATAATTAACTATATACTAGTTGTCTACCATTTGCAGATACTTAATTTGCAAGAAATTATACATTTGAAAATACTAATTTATATTAAACAATTTAATATGACATTTTAGTAAGTTCCGGGATCATAAACTAATTTTCATATTATATTAAATGTTACTTCTAATAATTAATGGGAAATGTAATTTTGAAAAATAAATGTGAATAATAAATACATAACATAAAAATTATATTATCAAAATATCAATAAGCATTGCCATTTAAGTATTTTTTTTATATTTTATATTTTAATCTTGTTTGAATATATTCCAATCATTTTAATGCAGGTAGGTACTTTATTTTATTTGTTTTACATGTTTATGTTTATTTACATTTATAAACATTTTGCAATGGTGTTTTTAAAATATATTTATGTGACATACCTAAACTTTTTTAGATAGTGAAAAGTTTTAAACTACTTTATTGTTTAAAGAAAATTGAAATAAAAATAAGTGTATGAAAAAAATATGTCATACGTGAATATTGTTGTTTTACCTACCTATTTTTAATTAAACATGTCATTTTGTTTCATGTTCAGAAATTAAAATTGATATAACATTCTGTATGATTTAAAAAATAAATGAAATAACTGATCCAGTTTATAAAGATGATACGTTCAGAATTCAGATAAGTCGTAAATAACAAAACGATTTAATAAACCACGATAAAATGATGAAAATTTATTTTTAATTTGATCAACTGGGATTCAAGAGATGCACATTTACTACATGGTTCAAAAAAAAATTTTATTAGACCACCGTAAGTATTTCATTTTGTAGTAATTGTATGTTTAAGAATTTTCATTTATATATCACATGTATTCACTCTAAAGCATAATGCATAATATTATACTTCAACAATTATTGGAATTTTAACTATTTATAATTCTGTGGTTAAAAATTATGGCAATAGGATTGTATAATAAATACTCTACAAGTCCACGATGAAAATGATCAATATAACACAAATATCGTATATATGCCAGCGATTTAAAGTTCGTTTACCTATGTATTGTAATGGAATATCAGAAAGTAGTAGAAATGACAGCTGGAAAATATGTTTGAATAAATTTTTAGATAAACAAGTCTAAATTTGTTAAAAATTTGGGTTGTTGTGTATCAACATTTACTGCAATAAGAACTAATTAGTAATATTAATAATATTAGTAAGAACTAATAAGTCTAAAACAATATAATATGATAAATAATATTATTTTTTAATGATTGCTTTTTTAAAATTTAAATTGTAAAATTTTATTCACTTGAGAAACCTAATGTTAACTTAAGAAACAATACTTAAATTATGGTTAAGATAATGATACTTTTGAGAGTAATTAATAATTACGGTTACCTATAATTTTAAATAGGTTATATACAAGAAGCATATGATGCAAATATCTTTATCATATTAATTATCGTTATTCATTAAGTATCGTATAGAATATAATTAAAAATTTCGTGTAATGTGCTGTTACTGTGATTCGACACTTAAAATCGATTAATAAGTAATAATAGTGTAATAAGTGTAAGTAGGTATAATGGCATAGAATTATATTGAGTCCAATAATTAAATCATGCTATGCATATAATAATACTTTGAATACAATTTTAATTCAGAATTTTTGTTTGTTCAAGATAGAAACGCTATTATAAAACAATGAAAAATAAAAACGCGTTTGTGACTCGAAAGACTGACAAAAAAAAAAAAAAACTTAATTAGAATAATAACAATATAGCCATTTAAATTATGACTGAAATGTCATCACTCATCGCATTAATGTTTATTATTTATATATAAATATAAATATATTAGCATAGCGTGTAACGTCTTATTTGTTACGGGTCATTAACAAAAATAACGATTTCCATATACGGGAATACTATATTGACGGTCCGACAATAATAAATGCCGGTGAAATGTTTATCGGCTCAACGAATTATTATGTTGTCCGGTCGTCGATTGGTTAGGGTTATCGAGGTTATAGATATTTTACGAAGCGTCAGTCTTAGTATAATTTCATAGTATAGTTTTGCAAAAAGGACGTTTTTTGAAGTGGGGGTTTGTTTACGAGGACCGTGTGCACACACGCATGTCATAATAAACATTTCTTGTATACTTCGTATTAATGTTATTATTTTGCGACATATAAATATAAGTCATGGGGGTCCGAGAAGAGAAATGAAGAAAAGTTATATCGCATAACCCGTGCAAATTGTTTATGGAATATTGCGGGAACGTCTAACGTATGGCG